TCATTTATGTTGGTGTTTAAATTATTTACGAGGCGTTGATATGATGACGTGCATATAACTACGCTATATGACATACAGCACGTCATTATATATTCATGTATATTATTAAATAAACTGACTTTACGCTTTAAGGTAGAGAGTGGGGATGGGTGCAAAAACGAAGCGCTGTATCGATATATTTACGATATTCTGTTGGTTAAAATAAGTCCTTGAACCCTTAAGCCCTAGGGGAATAGTTGAATAGTATGAATAGTTATTATTCGTGTGAATTTTTGAAATCTAATGTTATAATTGAAAAAAACAGTGAAATTAGAGGATAACAATGTTATGTGGGCAAAGTTTAAACGTTGAAACCTTCTTGATATCCTCGAAACTAACGCGCAGTGTGTACAAAATGTCATTTTCCTAGATTAATTTCGGATATAATTTCGTGTATAAAAGTACCGTATGTCTAAAAATCATTCCCCCGCGTAAACACACGCCATACTGAAATTTATATTGTAATGGAATCTGACTGTTATCACTCCCATTAGCTTATATAAAATAAAAATAATTTCCAAATTTGAGCGCATTTGTTCTAGAATAACCCAAAAGTATTATTCGATAGTAGCGGGAACGAAATATGGATACAAGTATAATATAATAATACTAGACGTCCAATAATCACGGACGGTGTAACGTTGATGAAACATAATCCGTTCTGGATTCTAATTCGATCTCAATTCATCATTCGCGATCGTAACGGACATAACAATCAGCTCTGGACCCAGAAAAGCGTGTCCCCCGACACAGAAGCGTGTTCCGCGAAAATCCAAGTGCGCCCCCCGAAATGTATGTACCGAATTTAATATTGTATGTATGCGTTTTTAATGTAGAAATGTTTTTGAAGATGATAACGGTCAATTAATGAGATCACTCTATCCGATACATTGGTATTAATTTTAAATTATATTATTTTAGTAATATTGTTTAAACTTTTACTTTTTTTGTGTCGATAATTTTTAGTATACACTTATTAAGGTATAAATATTATTAATGTATAAGTTATGTAGTGACATTATTGTTTAATGAGCTACGTCCTGCCATAGGTTTTTTTTTTTTTTTTGGCTATGAAAATCTATTAACTCTATCGACCGAATTAAAAAGTGTGTCCCCTGAAATCTGATGTATATTTTAGGCCCTGAATCAGCTGATTCGGCTGTTTGTCGAATTTAGAATTTATATGATTGTCCTCTGCGGTATATTTCTTAAAACTCATTCCGGCCGTTTTTAAATTGGCCGGCACTAAAATTTTCCCAAGTCCATACAAATTTATGGTGTTGGAATGGGGCAATTTTTGGTAGTTTGTTGGGTAAAATATGAAACTGATGATTGATTCTGATGCTTATTATGCTGCTGCTGCTGATCATTATTATTATTTAAGTGATGATTATTCTTATTCAGATTATGCTGATTCTTATTATCATGTTTTTTTTTTTTTTTTTTTTTTTT